TCTATGTATCTATGTATCTATGTATCTATGTATCTATGTATCTATGTATCTATGTATCTATGTATCTATGTATCTATGTATCTATGTATCTATGTATCTATGTATCTATGTATCTATGTATCTATGTATCTATGTATCTATGTATCTATGTATCTATGTATCTATGTATCTATGTATCTATGCATCTATGTATCTATGTATCTATGTATCTATGTATCTATGTATCTATGTATCTATGTATCTATGTATCTATGTATCTATGTATCTATGTATCTATGTATCTATGTATCTATGTATCTATGTATCTATGTATCTATGTATGTATCTATTTATCTATGTATCTATGTATCTATGATTCCATTGGGATTTATTTAAATACCTACGTGAAGCTATGCTTGCAAGTGTATAGACATATGCATAGTTATATATACACGTGCATATCCATGCATGAACATGCTGTTATGCACATCCGCATGTCCTGGCTTCATCCTTTCTCTGTCTCGCTCGCTCTTCCCCAGGAGCGCGCAATATTTATTGGTTTAATAAAGTTACCTTTCATTGAAATTGAATGAAATGCATCGAGAACAGGCAGCTGCCTGTCATATGCAGGCACAACGACACACACACACACACATACACAGTGAGACAGCTCCAATGAACCTTAATGAAGCACTTGACGTTGCGTATACGTAATACGTCTGCTGGCTGCGTATACGTAACGTTTCTGGTTGCAGCTGGCGGCTGACGCGAGGCCGGAACTTGTTGCCTGCTTTCAGGCGGCTACATAATGCCCAGCAAGTGGGTGGCTGGCTGGCTGGTTCAGTGGAAGTCGAGTGCAGCTGCCGGAGCAAAGGGACGGGCGTCAAAGGGGTAAAGGGAGGCGGCATAGGGGAACTTGGAGAGGGCTGTCGGAGAGCGCCGGTCGCACGCTCCGAGTGAAGCCCGACTAATTATAGCTGCCTGTTCCATGGCAGTTAATGAGATGCCGAAGATGCTGCGAGAGATGCTGAGACAGCAAGCAGAGCAGCAGAGGCAGAGGCAGAGGCAGCAGAGGCAGAGGCAGAGGCAGCGGCAGCGGCAGAGGCAGCGACAGCAATAGCAAATTGGAAATGCGTCAGTTGCGATTCGAGAGAGTAAGCGATTCGATCCGAGCGATCCGTTTCGATTCTTATTCGATTATCCAATTAGAGAGCATTCGCATTCCCATTCACATCCCCATCCAAGTCCATGGCGCAGATGGAGCAGCAGCTGGAGCAGCATGTGCCACAGATGGCCATCAGTGCCAGCACGCAGGAGCTGGCCGCCTTGATCGATGCCCATTTGGGTGCACTGCGCTCGCCGTCGCCCGCCTGGCGTGTGGCCGACTCTCCCATATCGGGGCGTGGCGTGTTCGCCGCGCGCAACATTGAGAAGGGCGAGGAGCTGTTCCGCGAGCACACGCTCCTGGTGGGACCCACCGCGCATCGTGGCCGCAATTTGCGCACCTGCATCCACTGCTACCACCAGCCGCCGGGCGAGAGCGAGGAGTCGGCGCTCTGCAGCGCCGGCTGCGGCCTGCCCGTCTGTCCGGACTGTGCGCCCTCTGAGCGGCACGCCGTCGAGTGCCAGCTCTTCCGGAAATGGCAGCCCAAGCACTTGAACATCATTGAGCCGCGCGCCCTGCGCATCCTCAGCGTGGTGCGCTGCTTCTTCCTCAGCGAGCCGCAGCGCCAGCTGCTCTACGCGATGCAGGCGAACACCGACAGCTACTACATGCGCGAGGTGCAGCGGGCCGCCGAGTGCTTCGAGCACTTTCCGCGCGATCCGGACATGCTCGAGTACTTCTATCGCACGGTCTGCGCCTTCAATACGAACGCCTTCGAGAGCCGCTGCCACATCGATGGCCAGGAGGTGGTCACGCGCGCCCTCTTCCCGCTGGCCGGGCTGCTCAACCACCAGTGCACGCCGAATGCGGCGCACCACTTCGAGGATGGCGAGACCATCGTGGTCACGGCCACCGAGCGCATCCCGGAGGGCGCCGAGATCACCATGTCCTACACGAAGCTCCTCTGGTCCACGCTCGCGCGCAAAATCTTTCTCGGCATGACGAAGCACTTCATGTGCCAGTGTCCGCGCTGTCAGGATCCCACGGTGAGTCAACCAAGCGATCTCGATGTCTCTGTGTGTGTCTCTCTTTCTCCCTCTCTCTCTCGATCTATCTAGCTCGCGCGCGCGCTCTCTCTCTCTCTCTCTTGCTCTCTTTCTCTCTCTGTGCGTATATCTGTGTGCCTTTTCTGCCTATGTATGTGTGATTGCGATTCGATCTACTAAAATAGCAAACGTCTCCCTATTTCTAACTGTATTTATATATGTATGTGGCTTTATCCGTATCACTAAATATATCCATATATTGTGTGGATGTATGTCTACGCCTTATGGTTGTATCGTTATGCGCATTCCTATCTGTATCTGTGCTTCTATCTTTATCTGTTCACATGATTATTCTTACCCCTATCTGTACATATATTCTTATCTATATCTGTATTTTTGCCTATGGATATAGCTTTGCTTTTATCCTTATATATTTTTATCTTTATCAAATCGGTTTATATAACTTTTTTATCTATATATCTTTATCCATAACACTGTGTCTGTAGATAAAGCTTTCTTTTTATCCGTACTTCACGTTTGTTCCTTTATCCGAGTTTCCATTGTGTCTCTATATCCTTATCCGTATATCCATTGGTATCTCAATTTTGCGTATCGTATATCTATCTGTATTCCTATCTATATCTCTATTGAGTCTGCACCTGTCCCTCCACTTGTATCTATATTTATAGCTGTACCCTAAGATATACCTCATTCAACATATATGTACATATGTATGCACGTGTTTATATGTATTTGAATGCGTATCTATAACTCTTTATATATATCGCTCTCTGTATCTGTTTCTCGATTTGTATCTATATTTGTATCTACATCTGCGTCACTATGTGGGCCAGTGTATCGCAATGTAGGGCATTAGATAGACACGCACACGAGTGAACGATTACGCATCTGCTTTTGGCCCATCCGGCCATCCATTGATCGGCACTTTGTGTGACTTTTAGCACTTGGCACAGAGCTTCCAGGTTCATTCAACTGTGTATTAGCAACACTCTGCCGACATTAATAGCCCATTCGTTCGCAATTGAAGCTGTGATATGAAGTAAAACGTCTAAATAGATGGGCAATAAATGTGTTGCTTGATTTCTATTTGGATAAACGGGCTGATTGGCTGTTGCTTGCAAAGATATTGATAATCAACCCAATTTAACTTTTCACATCTTAATTAAGCGTAACCCCAAACTTTGTGAGCTCCCATGTAAGTAAATATTTAACCAAAAACTGAATATGATTGAGTTGAAATTATTTTTATTTATATAAAACACGAAATGCAATTGCGATAGTTGTGATCGATTTGTTGCACTGCTCATCTCTAGCTGCACTGGCGAATGCCAAAATTGCCATTGTGAATGCTGTTCAAATTTGAATGCACTGTTTGCTTAGCCAAAATACCAAAACAAACTATTGTGAATGATTGACAAATGTGAATGCAGCTAAATACCAAAACAAACTATTGTGAACGATTATTTGAATATTGCAAAATACCAAAGCCAAATCAATGTGAATTCTAATTGACCTAAATTTATATGTGAGTGTGATAGAAATAATAATAAATAAAGCAACGACTAATGAGTCGTTTCCCAATGCAGCTATAAATACATACATACATACATACATACATACATGCATGAAAAGTGCTACAGCATTTGGCACTTGGGCGTCTGGTATTCGCAATCAAATCGCGCTCCCATTCAGCAAAATGCCTCTGAATGACAACTTGTTGAGCCGTGAGCCAACGTGAAAATTGTTGCTTGATGCGATCTAAATCTTTCCTGCTCGGCCGCTTGCCCTTTCTGTTCTCTGTTCCCCGCTGCTTACGCTGTTCGTGTTAAATATTTTGAATGAAATTGTCCGTCCCTTGCCCCGTTAAGCATATGCTTACATGCATATATGTATGTAGACATACATACACACATACATACACACATACATATACATATATAGACCTCTGCCTCGCACCCTTTCTGTCATGCTGCCTGTCATATTGCATATTCCTTTGGGTCTGGGCAAGCTGCCAGGTTAAGAGCTAATGGAGGTCCAAACTAGTTCAAGTACAAATACACAAACACACACACACACACAAACACACACACACACGCACGCACTCTCAGTGTAGCCTCTCGCTCCCTCTCACACTGCACGATGCTCTTGCACGCACATTCGGCACGCCAGGGGGCGCTGCTGTAAATCTTTGGCCATTGGACGACGAAGACGCGGCCGAGCCACATGCGAGAAAACATATCAAAACGCCACTGACGTGCGTCCACAGCCAAAAGAAAAACATTTCGGCTGCGGTGATATATCCGATACTCCCTGCAAAGTGTTGTGAAAGGGCTTGACAAGCGGGTGAGTGGCATTTAAGAGTTGTGGAAGGAAAGGCTGACAAGAGCTAGACCAAAATCAAATCAATGCACCTATTGACAGTACTTGATTTGCTTAAATCGATAAGTATCGATTTTTTTTTTAATTTTATTTTGCATGGTAAAAGTTGTTGGTGTTACACATGCTTAAATAACTGTCGTTTCTATATCAAATATATATAAATAATAATCGATAAAAATCGATAAGCGAACAGTCAACTGCAAAAT